CTTTCATCTCTTGATATGCAACTTGAGAGAAAAACTATTTTATTCTGTGGTGGATGCCCAAACAAAACTAGTTGTCAAAATAGTACAGCATGATATTCAATTCAAATGAAAGAGACAACGTATACATGAATAAAATAGAATTAAACATAAATATTGGCAAAATGAGAACAAGTATAAACAAGATTATGAATATAATTGTATACTATATTTCATGCATCCTAACTCTTAAGGTATCCTGATACATTACATTGTACAGTACCTGTTGTGAACGTGAAATAGTTCCTACTTGGTGTGTTACCCTCTGCTTTAAATTTTTGATGCTAAAGCTCACTTGTTACAGATGATGTTATGCTAATTTGAGAACAGCTCTGAGCATGCTCCAATCAGCCATAAAATTTTGACATTAGCTAAGATATTAATTAACATATAGTAAATATAACCAAGGATTTGAATTGAAATAAAAGTGAAGAAGCAGGACAAAGTGAGAAATGAATGAGAGAAGAAATATCAGTAGGTAAAGAAAAGCAACAAGCTGAACATTACTTGTGTGTCATATTCCTGATGACACACAAATATGGTTCAGGATAATCAATAAAATGCAGGCAGAAAATAGACAGTGGTTAAAGAAACATTAGAAAATCATATTTTGGAAGAGTCTAGTCTTCCAGAAAGTTTTCTGGAATGCCACGATTCTAAGGAAAGACTTTGAAGTGCTGTAGCTAGCAACACAAAACCTAGCTGTGCAGTAAGATAGAAAGCTCATGTTTTCTTATTTAATTCACTATCAAGCAGGGCTGTAGGGTCGGTAAAAACATTTAACTCTTACTCCGACTACGGATAATTTTAGTAGGCTGACTCTGACTCTGGCAAAATTAAATACCAAGTCATTTCATGGGGAGCAGAGACGCTCATAGGGGCGTCTCTGCCCACCATGAAATGACTTGGTATCCTACTCTGAACTCTGAAAGGAGTCTGGGGCATTTACCCAAATTCTTTTATAGTTAGTATTTTGAATATTTAACTTACATTAATATTTATTTGTATAAAAAAGTATTTTTAATGAATATTTAATAAGAGGAGAAAGAGGGTGATAAAATTCTACATCTATATAAATTCGACAGCATTTGCACTTCAATTTCACCCTTCCAGAAGAGTTAGTCCAACTAAAAAGTGTGCTATCTACTAGCTACTTTAGCCCCTTGTTCAGAAAAGAAAAATATGTACTCTGATCAATTAGTCTGGCTCATTCAGAAAAATAGAGTACTTATTTAGAGCAGGAATAATAAAGGAATGATTCAAAAATATTCAAATTCAATTGGGTCAAAATAATTTAACTATTAAACACAAATACTACAAATTAAATTGCTGCATTTTGTATTTAAAATATGACAAACGACTTCCAACAACTTAACACTGCATTATTTACATCTCTGGCGACATCGTTATGACGGTCAGGAGGAAACACAGTCAGTCACCACCTGAAGCAGACCTTGGTGGAGGTCGAAAGCATCTGTGGAGTGTACTATGGACATAACACTTGTAAAAAAAAGGTTTTCATGGATTGTTATGTATTTAAAATAAATGAGTTATAACAAAATACAAAAGGATTTTAAAAAATTAATAAATATATAATAAATTTTCTTTCATTTACATAAAAATAATAAAGTAAATTTAAAATACAGGAGTCAGAGTGAGAATCGGAGTCAACACATTTTTTCTGACTCCAACTCCTCTGGCCAGAAATTCCTCCTGACTCTGAATCTACAGCATGTGGTCCAAGGCAAGTTTCAATGCAGCCCAATAAACATGTAAACAAAACCAACAAATGTTTTAATTTTTTTATTATTTATTTATTTCAATGGCTTAAATTCAAAAAAGAAGTTTCAGAAAGTCATAAACCTTTATTCATATTTTATTTTTGAGTGGAAAAGAAATATTTTCAAATACTTGGAGATGTGTGAATGAGGAAGGATTATTAAATAAAGCTGGAGTTGTGACTCAAAGAATTATAGACCCAAATTTGGGAAAAGGACAGAAAGGCGAGAAAAGACAAAATATAAAAAGTAGTGAGAAAAATTAAATAGATCTTCTGTTATGCAAATATTGACCCTTAATTTTCCACTTCTTTATCTTTTCTCCTTTCTCTCTTTTCCCTGCATTTGGGTCTATAATCCTTTGAGTCACAACTCCAGCTTTATTTAGTAATAGTATTTCTTCCAATGTTGCAAGATTTGGCTACATTGCACCAAATGTGGCTACTTTTTTTTGTTTGACATAGAAATTATCTATAACTAAATCAACACCTGTTCACTCGCTGAGAGATTTATTCTTAACACAAACGTTTTCAATCCAATCAATGGATCATCGTCAGGTAAATTAGAACATTTCAAAAAATAGAACAACAAGTTCAAAATACAAAAAATATAAATATTAATAACGGATAACCAATATATTACTAACAGCAAAATAACGTTTTTAAATAATATAATTAATACAAATGCTGCTAAAATTATAAATAAAAATAAAATATTAAAATATAACAAATAAATTGTGTATACAAAATATTAATACTTCAAACTTAATAGACAAATCGATAACACTATATATTAATAATGCTTAATAAACTGTACGGAGTTTCTCAACTAAACTATACAGAGTTTTTTATATACATAATATTAAAGCTCCTGCTCTTATTTGAAGTTTTTAACTGCAAACTTCCATGCGGAAGGAAGTCCCTCGGCATCCCTTGCGTTGATGCAATTCCCTTTAAGTTTGCTTTTATAAATTTCTAATTTTTCGGCCGTTTTTGCCAAGGTCGGGGAGTGTATTTGTTTCAGTATATCTGCTTCATTCCATCTTACTATCGAACCCTCCGTTTGCGCCATTTGAGACAATACTGTGGCATTCGAACCTTTTCTCACATCATATCTGTGCTCTTTTATCCTTACCCCTAGATTTCTAGTAGTAACCCCAACATATTCTTTATCTATTCCTAACATCTGATTCTCGTATGGNTCCGAATTTGTACAGAATACTTAGAAATGATAAAGGGATAGTTAAAAAAGAGGATAGGTCAGGTGTATATAAGATCCCATACGAGAATCAGATGTTAGGAATAGATAAAGAATATGTTGGGGTTACTACTAGAAATCTAGGGGTAAGGATAAAAGAGCACAGATATGATGTGAGAAAAGGTTCGAATGCCACAGTATTGTCTCAAATGGCGCAAACGGAGGGTTCGATAGTAAGATGGAATGAAGCAGATATACTGAAACAAATACACTCCCCGACCTTGGCAAAAACGGCCGAAAAATTAGAAATTTATAAAAGCAAACTTAAAGGGAATTGCATCAACGCAAGGGATGCCGAGGGACTTCCTTCCGCATGGAAGTTTGCAGTTAAAAACTTCAAATAAGAGCAGGAGCTTTAATATTATGTATATAAAAAACTCTGTATAGTTTAGTTGAGAAACTCCGTACAGTTTATTAAGCATTATTAATATATAGTGTTATCGATTTGTCTATTAAGTTTGAAGTATTAATATTTTGTATACACAATTTATTTGTTATATTTTAATATTTTATTTTTATTTATAATTTTAGCAGCATTTGTATTAATTATATTATTTAAAAACGTTATTTTGCTGTTAGTAATATATTGGTTATCCGTTATTAATATTTATATTTTTTGTATTTTGAACTTGTTGTTCTATTTTTTGAAATGTTCTAATTTACCTGACGATGATCCATTGATTGGATTGAAAACGTTTGTGTTAAGAATAAATCTCTCAGCGAGTGAACAGGTGTTGATTTAGTTATAGTTTATTATTTTCTGCTGAGCACGCTTTGGGTTGTTTATAGAAATTATCATTTGGTGCTTGGGTTACATTTTATTTATAAATATACTGTATTAGTTGAATGAAAATGCACTTTAAAATGGTGTTTTGTTGCTTTTTATTAATTAGAGACCCAAATAAAACAAATATTTGTGTTTTTCAAATGAATTTCCATTTGTCTCTTTTATAATAAATGAATTTATCTAAGTAAAAATTGAAAGTGTCTGTAGAAGTAATTTTTTAAAATATCCTTTTTCATGATAAAGATTTAATACTTATTATTATAATCTAGACATGTTAATCCTTAAATATACAGTCGACCACCCTATAACACTGTTGATAATTTCATTTTATATGAATTCCATGTTGTACGAGTCATTTAGATTTTACAAATACGTGAGCCATTTACAGACTGGCACACGTATTTGTAAAATCTAAATGACTCGTACAACATGGAATTCATATAAAATACAAAAATCAACAGTGTTATAGGGGGTTGACTGTACTTCTATATTGGGCCACAAGTATATATTTTATGTACTTGTGGCCTAAAACTCCTTGACTTCTTCCGATGCAGCCCAGAGAAACAAAAAGGTTGGACACCCCTGCTCTACAGCCCTGCTATCAAGTCTCTATTTTGTATAGAAAAGTCACTTTTTTCACTTTTCTGGAGAGCCTGCATTACTGGAAGCCCTGGTTTTATTTAATTAGAAATCAAAGGTTTATTAAATTTTTTTTATTTACTATAAATTGCTTGTTATATTTTCATCTGTAATAAATGGACATTGAACAACCAGAGGTCTTAGTCCACAGGATGTAGAGATTAGCCGAGCTGTCAAAGTGGGCACCTGCTTATTCTTGTTGAGGCTCACCGAAGGCACAGAGTTTCAGTTCCTCCCATTGTGGAGGACTCCTCCTTCTAATACCACAGAAGGTTATAAAGAGGATTGTAAGTAAAAAAAAAAACAATTAGAGATATAGACAGTATTGAAACCATGAATATACCTGTACCAATTAAGAAAATGTGAACTAGCAATATGTCTGGTTTTCATTTACTCTGAACATGTGTCATCCTTGTTACTTCTTATCCCCTTTTTTACACAATCAGGTGTTCAAAATGATACCATTTGTTATGTACTTAAGATTTTTTTCTGTTGTTGCATAGGTGAACAACATGCAGTATTCCTCATGAATGAGCCAAACCCAAAATGACTAAAAATGGATCCAAGTGAAAATGATCCTGTGGTTAACTGGGTATGTGCATTGTTTCTATCCCGTTTTGTGTCGTTATAACTTATCAGGTGACTAATGACTGTTCTTTTATGTTTTCAGGCATCATGTACTGTACAGGAGTCATAGTAGACATTGGAACACAAGACTTCAAGAAGATTAAAGATTTTTACAGTTTTATAGATTACACTAGGTTCATCCACAGCTTCTTGTCAAATCCAGAACCCAAGTTTGCTATATTTGTACCTGTCATTTTAGCAAGTCGTCCCATTTGAATATAATGAAAGAGTTTGTACAGAGTCAGAGACAAATGTGGATAGCCTAATCCAAGTGCCAACTGTGCAATATTTAACTATCCAAAATCAAGTTCATTGATGCTCAACAGGTTGATCCGGGACACAATAAAGATGTCGTTGCATTCTATGGTGCATCAGAGAATGATGTTTTGGACGTTTTTGCAAGCTAATTCAGGATGACCGTTTATCAAACTTCAAATTCAAGTGCTACTATATCAATGGCAAGCTGGATCAAGAAAAGATCATGGAGATGATTGACAGACATTACAATGGATATTTTGATTAGGAAGGCAATTGTATTTATTGCATGTGGTCCATTCTTCAATTTTTGAATTTTGCTAAGAATTCTTGGAGTGAGGCAGAGACATTGATGATATCTACAAGAGATTCTTAGAGATGGATGCATTGTTACTGAAATTTCTGAACTGCTGAAAGAAGATACCATTCAATTCCAGCATCTAGGGAAGATAATGCTCAGTGATATGTTGATATTGTTTGATCTGATTTTGGGCAACAATGTAAAATACATTGACACTAATCTTGTTTTGTCATTCCTAATGGATCAAAGTTTCCTCACCTACACTGTGATAGAGAAACATTGTGATTCTCCTGGAAAGATTTCTAGTTCTCTTGGTGATATTTCTGATTCTTCTGGAAATATTTTTGATTCAACTGAAAACTGCACCTGGACAACAGCAGGAAACTTTAGAATGCCAAATTTTGAAACTCAACATGCATTGTCTGAAATGATGCGTAATTTAGTAATAGAATATTGGAAATTTATCCAGACCAGATTGTACAATTTTCCAATTGACAAGGTTTCAGTGTCCATAATGGGGAATGAAGAGGTACTGAAGGAGAGAATGCTGAAAATCCATGGAGGTTCACAGAAGCTTTTGAACAGATTTCAATTACCAAATGAAGATGAAGAAAAGCTTAATGTGAATGTGGCTGTCATAATGGGAATTCTGTTTTCTGTCTTGGTACAATCAAAATTGTTTAAACTTGCACCCTCTGATTTGCATGTTAAGGGCAACATATATCACAGGGTCATCCAGATCGTCTCATGATTTGCAAAAAGGAAAAGTTTGCAATACTATGGGAACTTAAAAAAGCCAAAGCAGAAACTCAGAAGATGGCAACTTCAGTTTACGCCCTGCGGGAAGCAGGGCGTAAGGAAACCACTAACACTGGGACCACAAAAGATTACATGCAAGCATTTAGATAAACTGAAAATAGAGAAAGCACTTATTATTGGTTTGAGCATGGACAGTCAGGCCCAGGTAATTGTAATGCATATCATACTGTAATTACATGTAACATTTTTGCTGCCATTCTTAAAATTATCATAGAGAAAATGTCAGTTTATTTAACTTGATACAACTAACTAGTTAACATAACACAATTTCCAGTTGCTAATTATGATATACATATGTTACAGGTATCCCTTGCCTATGCAGAGAAGGAGTCCAAGAAGATTTTCCTTATATCAAAGAATGAATACAAATTACACAAAGAATATTATGACTTGCTTCCTATTGTCCACTAACCAGCTGAGGAAGAAACACAATGAGATTAAGGACGTTCAGTGTCTGTTTGTTGCAAGGTGATGACGCTTGTTACCTTTCTCTTACTTTTTCATAAATATCGATAACTTCTTATTTGCAGACAGAGGAGACTGACGTGTGATGTGGACGTCCAATATGATTGATTATGTCTATCACTTCAAATAGTGTAATACCAGTGTTTGCAATCAAATTTCTTTACCTTTTTTGATGTCTTGAATAAATGCATTGTCAAAAATTCATTTTCTTTTGCATGATAATGGTATGAAAATAGATTTCCTGATTGCTTCAAAGGAGGTTCACAGAGGTTGAAACATGTTGTACATGAAATGAGTTTTCTCCTGTTTTAAAGTTTTTTGCCTGTTCATTTATCAATGCTGGGAAACTTCTACAGTAGAGCATCGATTATCCGACTCAATTGGAGACTCAGGTTGGTCAGATAACTGAAAAAATCGGATAACCGAAAAGAAGGAAAAAAATACATTATTAGTATAGTATATTAGAATATTAGTATATCCCATGTAATTAGTTTATTAGTATATCGCTATTAACCAACTTCGCATTGAATTTTCATCAACGTTTAGCCTAACAAATTTTTTAAAAAATAATAATTGTCGCTATTGTGTCGTTAAAAATTATTTTTAAATTATTTTATTGCTCACGAAACAAACAACTACTCATAATTAGAAAATTAAGTCTCCTTTAAATACTGGCCTCCCTTCAATGGTCGAGCTGATGTTGCCAGCTAAAACATGCAAAAATTTAACAAAAATAATATTAAAGTAGCCAAGACATAGACAAATATTGTAATGCCACATCACTAGCGGACATTTGAAATTTGCCGACTAGAACGGTAGGTTAACCGAAGTGACGGTTAATCGGGGGTCGGATAATCGATGCTCTACTATATGATGATAAACCTTCAATTTCCCAAAAAAGGAAGCATTCAATACACAGAAGGTGCGTCGTTTTAACAGCTTTTGCCACCAACTACTTGTCTTTGAGGCAAGCGTCTCTAGATTTTTATGGAATTTCATTTCTTTCCTACAAGATCTGTCCCAGAAATTCCTGAGTGTTTTTGTGCTGGGAAACAGTGTTTTTGAGTGTTTTTACTGTATAAAACCTTTTTTAGGTAGTTTTGCTTTAAGTTCTGATTCTTACAGCAGCTTCACCACCAGTATTCGAGGGGTTTTGTTAGTGCTATACAATATAGTAATATTTTTAAAAACTTAGTTTTTTTCAAACTACAGAGGTTGGGAGATGGATTTTTGTTGGTTTTTACATGATTATAAAAAAAGGTGCTAGACCCAAAGTGTTGTTTTTGAGATAAGTGACCTAAGTTTTGATGGTTTTTAGTGAATTTTCTTTGCCCCACAAAATCTATCTTGGAAATTTTAGAAGTTTTTTTTAATATTTTTTCTTAAAATGCTGATTTTGGGGTGATATTTCTTTATTTTAAAGTTTTTGGGTAAAAGGTGAATTTGGGAGATTTAAAATTTTGAAATTTCTTCATTTTGTGAGGTTGGGTGTAGTTTTTTGGTTGAAAATGCTTGCCTTACTTGAGGTGCACTAGAAATTTGGGAGATTTCGAAATTTTGAATTTTTTGTTAAAATGTAGCTGATTTTGGGATGATGCTTGATTTTGACTTTTCATAAAATTGTTAATTAGGTAGATTTTTGGGAGATTGAGAAATTTGGAATTTTTGCTGTTTTTGAGAGACTGTAGTTTGATTTTGGGTGTTTTGTGTTTTTTTTTCATAAAAAATGCTTGCCTCATAAGATCTGTCCTAGAAGTAACATTTTATACACTACTGTTGCTACAGAGTGAACCATTTTCACAGAGACAAATGTATGAGTGGGTTGGAAAATTCAAAAGCAGTGTCACTTCTTTTGAAGATGCAATCAGTATGATTGCATCTTCATGATTGTACAGTGATGAACTCTGAGTGTGTTTGAAGTGTTGATGACCTAATACAGGAGAATCAATATGTAACTGTAGATAAGGTGACTTTGGAACTGCATGAATCACAGATTACCATGAAAAATCATTCATGACAAGTTGAGTTATCACAAAGTTTTTGCAAGATGGGTGCCTCATTCACTCACACTAGAAATGAAAGAAAATCATGTTCTTGCATGTCATCAGTTTCTGGTTCATTATGAATGTGAAGTTGACAATTTTCTGCACAGTATTACCTGTGAAAGTTGGGTTTACCACTTTTTCAGAAGGCAAACAAAATTTTATGAAATGGCATTTATGAAATTTATCTGGGCTCTCAAAGACCCAAGAAAGTCCATACACAATCTTCTGTAGAAAAGGATATAATGACAGCATTTTAGGATAGTAAAGAAGAATTCTGGAATATTACTTGCCCATCCATCAAATGGTGAACAGCAACAACTACTGTACCCTTCTCCAAAGTCATTTTAAGGCCATTTATCTACAAGAAGAGTTGTGGTCTCCTTTCTGAGGATGTGTACTTCTTGCAAGACATCAATCCTCATATAGCAAATACCACCAGGATGTTGCTTCAAGATATGTAATTTGAAATCTCATACCATCTATACTTCTGACTTGTCACCATGTGACTTTGTCTCTGTGGGACATTAAAAGATTCTCTACAGGGATGCTATATCCAATTTGACAAGAAAGTTCAGTCAGCAGTGCATGAATGGCTCAGTAGCTAGCCAAAAAAGTTTTTTTACTGGATGAATGGATTTTATTATAAAAACTTAAATTTTATTTAAAACTGTACATCAATTGCATCAATTTCTTGGTTCTGCAATTAATTCATGAATTGATTACTGTATACCAAACTTGCATCATCAAGTTTGATGTATGGTAATCAATTGGTGAATTAAGAGTTTTTGATGTAGATGCAATATCAAAATATACATGAAGACATTAAATAGATTAGGCATAGTAAAAGCATTTCAGTAGTAAAATTTTGAGGTGTGGCAGAATTGTAATCTACTTCTAATTATTATTATTGTTGGGTATATTAGCAGAGAGTTTTATTTATGCTATACAAAATTCCAAATAGGGTTTGACATTCCAAAATTTTTTCCATATGCCAAAAACTTTTAAAAATGCTTGGAAACACTGGTTACTTGATAGTTCTGATAATCTGTTCAGTTTTCATGTCACATGTCGCACAGAATGCATTTGCTTAATTTTGCATAATATCTCAACTGGCAATGCAAAATAACTTTATTCGTTACTTTTAGCAAAGGAAATGAAACTTTCGAGTACTTGATTGTGAATGATCATAATACAAACCTTTTTAATTATTAACTGAAATGAAAAATTAATTTGTTTATTAAATGTTATTAAATTTCAAAGAATTGTTTTAAGAATCAGAAATCAATGGAGATCATAAATTTCTTTTGATTCTAATTACCAAAAAACACTCAATTCTTCTGATTCTTGATACCTCAATTCTGATGAATCATTCCATCACTAATAATATAAAAATGTATAGATATATTAAATCATATATTATTATTATAACAAACAGTAACTATAATATTTATTGATTCTAATTATAAATAATTTATAAATTATTACATATTTTAAATAATAATCTCTGCATTATAAAATATATTATTATTAATTGAAATCAATAATTTCTAGACGTAAAATTAACTATTTTTATTTTTTAAGCAATAATATTTAAAGTATATATTAAATACTACAAATTCATAAAAAATGATAAATTTACAGCAAAATTAATTTTCTGCTAATTTTAAATACTATTTCAATGACGTAATGAAAACCTATCTAACAGGAAGTGACTTTATTTTTGATTTGTTTTTTATTGCATTATAACTATAAATAACACAAAATTATTTTTAGATGATGAGTTATTATTTAAAATAATTAAATGCATCTTCATAAACTAGAATAATCATTTTTTGCATCATAAAAACACATTATTGTATTATATTACTAATATGTTTTGAATGTTTTATTTCAATTAATTGGCCCAAAAAATTTTGCTGTATTCTAGTTTTAAAAAGAAGTAAAATTAGAAAGCACTTTTATTTATCAAGGAAAAAGAGGAGTTTAAAAGAAATCATTTAAATTAAAATATTCTACATGAATACATGAAAAAGCTGCTTAGGTATAAAAAAAAACATTGTATAATTAAAATAGCCAGTAACTATTAATCTGTCAATTTGTGCACTCTGTCATGCATCGGTACAATCCACTCCCTCTTCAGCATGTTTTAGATGTTCCTGTGTCCATTGTGTTACTTCATACATTGCTGGATGGTATTCTACTCATGTCATGCCCAACACATATGGCAACTGCATGCATCAACAAAACCAAGGTCACACAGCTCTAGGTATGGTCTCATTCTCATCCATTAACTGATGGTATTCATCTCATTGTTGTCTCTAAGGTATTTTCTATGCTTCTTTGAAAGTTTGGCTGCATAACCATTGCTGATAGCATTTATGGCTTGAGCCAACTGCTGGTGTTTATAGGTCAAAACTGGGTAGCAAATAAATGATCTGATGTGTATTGCATATCTGTCACCTGTAGTGGTCCTGCAATTTGCATGTGGCTACACATATTTCTTCTTGGTGTTGTGATTTCACTTTTGAGGAGTGTATATTACATTTATTAGACAATATTATATATATATATATATATATACAGTAGAGCGTCAATTTTCCGAAAGTCAATCATCCGAAAGAATTCCAGTCGGCAAATTTAAATTTTCGCCAGTGCTGTGGCGCTTCAATCTTTGGGCTACTCTAATATTTTTGTTTTGTTGGTGTGTGTTTTTTAGCTGGCAGCACTGGCATTTTTGTGCGGTGTTTTTCTGAGGATTGTGTGTTGTGCTGAATCGAACGTTTTGATACTAGATCTTCTTCTAAAGTATATATTTTGTGGTTTTTATATTTTTCAATATATTTATTTTGTTTGTAAGAAATAAAGAAATAGTTTTTAACGATACAACAGCCACGATTATTATTTTAAAAAGTATACGTTAGGCTTAACATCGACGAAAATTCAACGCGAAGCGACACG